TATCTGTATCGTATCTGTATCTGTATCTGTATCTGTAATCTGTATCTGTATCTGTATCTGTATCTGTATCTGTAAAATCTGTAATCTTATCTGTATCTGTATTCTGTATCTGTATCTGTATCTGTATCTGTACTGTATCTGTAGCTGTAATCTGTATCTGTATTGTTCTGTATCTGTATCTGTATCTGTTCTGTATCTGTATCTGTTCTGTTATCTGTAATCTGTATCTGTATCTGGTATCTGTATCTGTAATCTGTATCTGTTATCTGTATCTGTATCTGTATCTGTATCTGTATCTGTATCTGTTTCTGTATCTGTATCTGTATCTGTACTGTATCTGTATCGTATCTGTATCGTGTTTATCGTATCTGTTATCTGTATCTGTATCGTGTATCTGTACTTATCTGTATCCTGTATGATCTTATTGATTTATCTGATATCTGTATCTGTATCTGTATCTATCTGTATCTGTACTGCACTGTATCTGTATCTTATCTGTATCTGTATCTGATATCTGTATCTGTATCTGTATTGTATCTGTATCTGTATCTGTATCTGTATCTGTATCTGTATCTGTATGCTGTATCTTGTACTGTTAAATCTGTATCTGTATCTGTACTGTATTGTATCTGTATATGTATCCTGTATCTGTATCTGTATCTGTATCTGTATCTGTCATCATGATATCATGATCTGTATCTGTATCTGTATCTGTATCGTGTATCTGTATCTGTATCTGTATCTGTATCTGTATCTGTATCTGTATCGTATTGTATCTGTATCTGTATCTGATATCTGTATCTGTATCCTGTTATCTTATCTTGTATCTTGTATCTGTATCTGTATCTGTATCTGTATCTGTATCTGTATCTGTATCTGTATCTGTATCTGTATCTATATCTATATATCTATATATCTATATATCTATCGGGACCAGAGAGTAAAAGCTGGCACCAGTCAAGAGTGCTGCGATTGGCTAGAGGGAAGTCTACCTCGATTTCATGACACGGTGGTCGATTCGATTGATCCGATGAAAGAATCGAGTAATTTAAAATGGCGGCGGAGAGGAAAGTAGTGTAGTGTGATTCGGAACGTGAGAAACTAAATATGTTAGCTTAGATTTGAAATCAAGGCGGACAGTAATCCATTTAATTGCTTCAGACTCTCCATGTTTTTGATAAATTAAATTTCACAATTTTGAAATCGTACAATGATAATTAATGTGTTAGGATGCGCTTGAACAAGTTCGCGAAAATTGGAATTTCATGGTATGATTTCATATTCATGAATGCTCGTTTCGCTATTTTCGAGCATTTTTATTTAAACTATAAATAAATGTAAACATTTAAGATAACCATATATGTTTAAAATGCTGTTGGTAAATGCTCTTAAATGTCATGAATTAAATACTTTGCATTTACTTGCAGGTTAATGATCACCGGCTGTGGTGTGTACGGGTTCGTTCTGTCTAAAAGATACATAGATAGTCGTCGTTACGAGAGTATGAAAGTAAGGGATCGTATGCGGAAAGCCAACGCTGGAGAATACGAACCCAGTTATAGGAGATTTTAAATCCAAAAGTGAGTTAAAAGGAGTGAATACTATTGACAATGGCTAACTTACCCCAACTTGATAATGCCAAGCTTCAGTTGGTGCAGGAATTGGAAATTGAGATGATGTCTGATATGTATAATCGCATGACAGCTGCATGTCATAAAAAGTGTATTCCTCCCAAGTACAGGGATGCGGAACTGGGAAAGGGTGAGGCTGTGTGTCTAGATCGTTGTGTTGCCAAGTATCTTGATATACATGAACGAATTGGGAAGAAATTAACTCAGCTGTCTGTTCAAGATGAAGATTTTATGAAAAAAATGCAAGCTGAGCAGCCAAAGTGATCCCAATTCTGTGATAGCTAGTAATGTTAAGTACTGTTACATTGAAGTGTAACATAGAGTATAGCTTGTATCCATTGATGACCTATTAACTTGTGAGCATTGTTGGGTACTAGCTTGCATTTGTTGTAGAAAATTTTTTATATGTTCAAATATGTATGTTTGCGGAAATTTGAGTGTTCTATATTTGTTGATTTTGTAGAATGCAACAGTTCTTTGGAACTTTATATGTAATGCATTTAAGTAGTGATTATTAGAGAAATAAATACTCTAGAAAAAAAACTTGTATTGCTTCATTTATGGACAACTGAGATAATTATTGAGTTTAAGTTTATTTCATTATAGTATTCCCATTATTCATCTAGTTAAATTCAGATTCTTCATTAAGTGCTGCTCCAGATTTAATGTTGTATGTAAATTATGTTACATTAAAATCAATGTGTGATGATTATTGCAAGAAGATATAAACTTGAAATCTTTTAAACCTTGTTTCTTGCCCTTCAGATAAAAAATGGGTAGCTTCTATGACCTAGTGTGCAAGTATCAAACAGTTGCTATGATTGAAGAAGCTTTTCTCAAACGAAGTACATCCTTAAACATAAATAATTTTGGAGTCACTGAAGTTCCAGAGGAGATGATGAAACTTGTAAATTTGGTGCGATTAAAGTTGCATAACAATAAATTACGCTCTCTGCCGGAAAACATCAACCATTTAGAAAGATTGCACACTTTAACTCTGGATTATAATAGTCTGGAAACACTTCCAGAAAACTTTGGATTATTACAAAATCTGGTCTGCCTTAATTTGAGTCACAACCCATTGAAATCCCTTCCTGCTGAGATCATGACGTTGCCCAAACTTGAAGTTTTGTGGGTGAACAATACTGAACTTCAGGCAATACCAACATCAATAAAAAACCTCATTCATCTTGACACCTTTGGTGCTAGAGGGAATCAAATTTCTTCAATTCCTGAAGAAATATCAACTCTTACAAGTCTCCGGTATGGGCAATTTCAATATTTATTGTGATAGTACATGTATAGTACAGGATTATTGGAGGTTTTGAAACCAGTTTAATCATAGTTTCTTCTGATTTATGTTTGAGGTTAGAACCAAAATTCAACCCTGAATAATAGGAAGTACTATGGCTTTCAACAATTGCAATTGTTTCTTCGTCCTGTCACTACTACTAAAGTTTAGAATGTCATATCTAATAATCTATGTAGGTGCATCTTATTCGTTGTCTTAACTAGTGTTATATACTGAAACCCAAGGTGCAAATAATCACCTTGACTGAAACCACTTTTTACCTTTGAAATTGTGGAAAACACAAATAATCTTTTCCAACATGTTTGAAATTTTGTCTTATTTTCTTAAATTAATTTTAACACTTTGTTGTAATTTTCAGATATTTTTAGCTTTTTCCCTACATTAGTCAGTCATGTATGTATGTTTGGACGAACATTACTGTCGCTCATGGTTGCAAAACTTAAGATGAATCTAAATTCAAAAATACTCAAATATAAAATATTAGGTGAACTTTTGAAAGGATCAAAACTGTACTTGCATGTACCTGAGTTAACAGAAATTGCAGTATTTTCATTTGCCAAATGAAATTTAATTTCATGAAGTACAAATTAATTGCAGGTGGCTTACTCTGGAAGATAATCTTATCACTGAAATTCCCAACAACTTTGGTGCATTACAAAAACTAATCCATCTTAATCTAGCAAAAAATTTGCTACCAGTATTCCCTACATCAATTATAGGAATCCAGGTATCAAATGTAATAGGCATTTACATGAAATGTGTTTATACAATACAATATATTTTCATACGATCTTGTGTGTTCACTGTATCTTGTTTCCAGAGCCTCCAATATTGTGTGCTCAATGGAAACAATATAATTGATGTTACACAACCCCAGATAGAAGCAATGCAGAACTGCAAAAAAATTGACTTACAATTTAATCCTGTAACAAGTCTTCCATGGTTAAAAGTAAGTAATTGTACATTTCTCGAAAAGACTTTCCGTGCATCATACAAGAACTAAAAAGCTTACTTATTTCTAGGATTTTCAAAATGTGATATTGGAAGAGAGTACAGAGCAATCTAATCATGATTCTGATTCTGAATCTGAAGATTGGGAAGACTCTGTTCCCTCCAGTGAAATTGACCTAAGTGAAAGTTCAGATGAGGAATATTATGACAATGATGAGGTTATAGCTGCTCTTCCAGATATAGTTCAATTTACATTAATGGGATGATTTGTGACCAATAAACTTTTTCAGCAAATTTAAGAAATAACCTTACATTACTGGAGATATGCTCCCATAAAAGACCTGTCCAAAGCAAATCCAAGGATTTCATTGTTCTCTAGAGCCCCCATACTGACTTCGAGATGAGCAAGTGTTCCGTAGGTAAAATTTTGAAGAATTGCTATGCAGTTGTTGGCTTTATATGAATCTTTTTTATAGTTGAGCTTGTCACATCCTTGGGCATGGCAAATGAAGTTTCTCAGAAACTCCTCAAGGATAGTTGCCAATCTATTGACAGTGCACCTTGGATTTCCAGTTCATAATCCAAAAAGATTAAATCATAAAAATACCCCTGAACTAAATTATTATTATTATTATTATTATTATTATTATTATTATTATTATTATTATTATTATTCTATCTACACCTTTAAGTATTACCTTATTAGCTGCTTCTACAATCCACAAGCATCTCTAGGCAATTAGAAAGTGTGCTGCATAAAAATTAAGAAAGTAATATGAAGTGTTAAAAACTGGAATTTCCCAACTGCTCATTTAGTTCAATATTTATAAGATTTTAACTCCAAAACACACTAGAAAAACTAAAACAGCAATAAATGAGGTTTTTCAGGCAAAAAAAGCAAAATCTTACAAAGAATGATCTGTTGATAAACAAGTCAAAGAAGGGGAAGAAATACTTTCAACAATACCATTATTCATTTTGAGAAATGTATTGCATGTATTCTGTCAGTCAACTAAAAAGAGAGTTTTAGTACATACAAAAAGGAATACAGTATTTTTTTTTGCTAAAGTACAAAACACTATTAATGTTGAACACAATTACTTCTAATAAACTTTAAAATTAAATTTGTCAATGTCAATCAAGGCAACATTTTCATTGTTGGCTTTGCAACAATTAAATTTCTTAGGGTTGCTGTTAAATTCATGCTATTCTATTGTTGTATTGCCTATGTAAGGTATCTTTAGTTTCTTCTGGAATTACCTGTGTATAAATACACAACACTACAGAGATTTACAATAAGCCACCATAACCACCTTCTTATGATATGCTGTTAAGGGGTCATCCATTAATTACATAATGTTAAGAGGGGGGGCGGGTTGAAGCAACATTTTGCTACTTTACATTGGGGTGTTTAAGTGTTAGCCTTTAATTGTTGTTTTTTTTCTCTCTCCATTTACTGAAATAATTCCTTTTGTTCGGTCTTAAACTAATATAGTAACAAATTAAATTTTGAAATTATAAATTAAACAACTTCTGATGTATAAATTGTTCTAATGGAAATATTTTTTCATACATAGTATATTGATTGAATCCGTTAATTATGAATAGAATATTCAAAACTGACCTATCGTATACTCTAGAATCCAATTGAGTTGGGGCAGTATACTCTTTCCCCTGTGTTGTCTGCATCAGCATGTGCTCAGCTTAACAGAAAATTTTCTTGCCTATGCAAAAAAATTGTTAGGGGCAGTAAGGATCCACTAATTTTGACTTAAATTACTAAGCTACAGAATTTTACCCATTGACTTATTTTTTCCTTCAATGAAAAGTACAATCTTTTAGGTTACCTATTCATTTTGAGGTGTTAGTAGCATTATATGTGAAGTTTATAGTTCCTATAAATGCCTATTTTGTGTTTAAATGACTAAATGTTGCCCTCAGTGTGGATACTTCGTAATATGAAACTTGCTAAATCACTGGTGGTGCATGTTATTTTGTGCTTCAAATTATAAACAATTTTTTTCTGAAAAAGGACAAGTATTTTCCTAAAATTTTCTGTGTGTATGAATCAAAGGGCAATAAAAAAATTGGTGCTAATCCCATTCCTCCCGAACTCTATGTTTGAAATTTGCAAAAAGTTTATATCTAAAAAGTACAATATTGATTACAGAGCTTTTTGTTGTAAATGAAATATGTTCAAAATAATCAGATCTTCAAAAAAGATCATGTACAATTTTTTTAGACAAGTAGTTTTTGCGGAATTTCTGCTTGAAATTAATGCGTATTATTTTTTAAAAATCTCAAAAACCAATACAAATGTCTTCAAATTTTCTCAATAGATAGAACAAGGGACACTTAGAAGAATGGCATGTCTCATTTTTGTTAAACTGAATTTTTGAAAATTGCAAATTCTGAAATATTTTTTACATACGTGAGAAATTATGTGCTGTGTTTTATACATAGCTATTAAAACAAATCATGTTTTCAATTATGTTTAAATTAAATGTAAGGAAAAAGATCATTAGCAATGCCATGACTAGCTACGATTATCAGCAAGCATTTAATTATCAATGATTATTAGCTATCAGTAGCATAGGAATGATTATCAGCTTGTATGTAATGAAAAGTATTAAAGTAGCTACTACAATTCAGCCTTTTTTGACCGAAGTGCCCAACAATGATAGAATTTCAACGAGGATTTGTCAAAACAATGAAAACAAACATTCCATTAAGGTAACTACATTGTTTACTTTGAAAACGTTCTACACAAGTATATTATTACAAGAAAAATTTGTAATGCCTTTTTAAATGCCAATTTCTACAGTTTTTCAGGCCTCTAAATCCACAGCAATTACAATCTGTTACATCAATTTTAATACAAAACACAAAAACAAAAAAAAATTAATAAAGATTTTTTTGTCGATACAAAATATATTTTTACTTCTTGAAAATGGGGTATGTTGTCAAAAACATTACATAATTATTTAGGGGAGGGTGTTCAAACATGTGGGGGTGACAGGCTATACAAAATACTCCAAATATGCAATAAGTAATTTATGGATGCCCTCTAAACAGCTGCTGACACTTGCATCTGTAATGAGTTTGTATTCATTTTGATTCTAAACTGCTAACACAATTACATGTTTGCCATTCAATCCTGTGTTTGGGATGTTTCAACATATACACTTTCATTACAAAAAAATTGGCCATGTTTACTAATATGCATTTTCATTTCTATTTTGAAAAGTTGAAATTAAATGAAGGTATATATAATTCATGCATTTCCCCCAAAATGATGCAGTATATTTATTGCAAACAATATACAACATTCAAGATGGCCTTTTACCAAGCAATTTGACTTAGCTACAATATTACAGGCACAGATCCAAGTGTGTGTGCGAGTGGAGGGATATGAGAAATTTCACTGCTAAAATTTTCAGTAACTATAAATTTTAACTTCTCACGAAACTTTCAAGCAAAAATATTCTCAGATTATCATTAAAACAAATAAAACGTTATCACAGCATGAGCCGAGTGTAGGCTGCGACGTTTTACAAAAAATTCATATAAAATTTGATAAAAACATTAATTTTTTCTCCCAAAATTCGTCTCTGGATCCGCCCCTGAATATTACCTATAAGAAATTCTGAAATACTAATCTGCCTACATACAAAGCATCTCAAAATGTGAACTCTTTTGTTAATACGGATAAGTTATTCTTGGAAATAATTTTAAATTAATAAGTTTGTATATAAGGACATATTTATTACCCGAGTGGTTTTCGACAAACAGGAGTAACTTGTATTATTCTCTCTTCGTAATATACTACTTAATGTTTATTATGGTCACAGAGAATAACAGAAATTGATATAAACAAACATTTAAAAGTATAGGCAACACTCAGAAGTCAATGAATTTCATTATTTCATATTATTACAAACAATATCAACACTGATATGTGCTTATTTACCTACATAAAAACAAAACAAAAAAAAAAAACAGTAACTTATTTCAGTGTAAATACTGTCATTCACTTTCAAGGTTAAGTTATGCAGCCTTTTGCAGTAATTGTAAAATAGTTACCTTAGGAAAAGGATATTAAAGAAGGGATGTTGGAAAAAACCTATTGGAAAACCATTTGAAAACACACATTCTTATCAAAATAATTATACAGTCTTCATACACCAAAGTATGAAATCATAAAAACTTGAAGTAAAGAAATAGTTTTCTTTTTTTTCTTTAATACACAAACATACCAGGTGCACCACTATATTATAATTATTTAAAACAAAATAAAATGGGATTCCACACTCATGGTAGCAAAGAAAGAAACTAGTTGATAATAACAATTAAATTTTCACAGCATGTGCCCAATAGCAGTGCTTATGCAGGACCTTATTTTTACATTTTAACTTTGCAAACAAGAAGGAATATTGTCACATATGGCACTTTAACCAAGCTGTCAAACAATACTCAATATTTCTTGACAACAATTTGAAAAATATGTACAAATAAATAACAGGCCAGCTGCAGTCACTCATTTGGTATACATGCACAAGTCAAATATTTCATCATCCACTCAATGAATTACACTTTTATTGCTTTTGCTACCACTAAACACATAATATTAAGTCTGTTATGAACTATTTCCTTCAGAGTTGGTGGCAAGTAGCACTGTGTGTTGTCCACCAGCTGATACTTGAACCACTTTTCGATTTTCTAGTTGCTTGCCTCCTATCAAGTGGGGCTCGTACACATCAGCTTCATCACCTGTTCCCAATTGGCCGCTAGTTCCCATGCCCCAGGCAAATGCTTCACCTAAAAGCAGAGTGAAACATTCCATTGAAGATGAAGAAAGGAAAAGTCAGTAACACAAGAGAATAATTTTCAAAACAGACGGTCGATTTTTAAATTAACTATCTCCTTTTTTCTTGTTTTCCTTTATATTGAAGTTCTTACATAATTCAGTCAAATTTCAATTACCTTTATCAGTAACTGCAAATGATACAGATGTTCCACAAGCAATATCGACACACTTTTTATCCTTTAAAGCAGGGATTAGAACAGGAGCTTCTGCATCAGGACATAACTCACCAAGACCAAGGCGACCATATTCCTTTCGCCCAAGAGAATAGAGTAAACCTAGTAAACAAATTAGAGAATAAGATTGTGTCAAAAATATACTGAGTAATATACCTATATTTTAATGACTAAATTAGAGACTTGCACATTATATCTTTCATCATCTTGTAGGGAATTACACTGGCCTGCAATGATTTCATTGCTGCCATCTTGTATTGTTTTTTAGGATTTCTTTTGCACTCTGAATCAGGATCTGACAATATTTTTCCTATATCATGTAATGTTTTTAAAAAAATAATATATTACATTTTTATCACATTCAGGCACTACCCTATATAATCTGCTCAGTCTAAAATCGGTGTTTAACGTGAATTTCAATAAGAATATTATATTTTATTGACATTATATCAACATGCCACATTGTGGCAGGTAGAACAGTGCAGATACATTCTGCTGTGTGTGGATAAGACAGCAGCACAAAATAATAGTTTATAAGAAAGGCCCCTTATGCCTACTGGTATCAAACCGGGAGACCAAGAAAAGATGTGGGGTTTGGCCTTGTAGAATGTGTTAGATTAGTTATGACAATGGATGAACGGTGAGAGAACAAAGTTGCCGTTTGGAATTCCAATGGTATGGCGAGAACCTTCAGATCACTGTACTGAGTGCTATTTCTGTTCTGTGATTGTGAAGGGATTTATCAGCAAGAACAATATTATTTTGTGAATCCAACAATATCCATCAGCAATATGACCAGTTTCCTCGTGGTTTTGATGCAACAATCCCACAGCATCCGGAAAATTTACAAGACTCCCTCCTCTGAATATGAATTTGATGTAGGAGTGGCCTCTCTTACCTTTGACTGATTTCTCAATTGACTTTACAAATGAATCTAAACTTTTCAAGCAATGTGCATTAATGATTTTGTTCGAGATCTTGGACTTACACAAGTAGAAAGTCTAAGGAACAATCAAGCAAGATTACGTCACTTAACCAAAAAAGAATGGTCACATAAGATAGTGTATTGTAGGCTCAAAAAACCATAAAAACTTGTTGACAAGTCTTCATACTGTTACCTCCGCTTCATATCAAACTTGGACCTATGAAAATTTATTAAAGCTCTAAACAATGAAGGTGAATGCTTTCAGTAGTTGTGACATCAATTCCCTGACAGTAATGTCAAAATCAAAGAGGGTGTCTACAGGTCCAGATATCAGGAAACTTCTACCTTATGCTAATTCTGAAGATGTATGCTGCAGAATGGAAATCATACTGAAATGTGGTCAAAACCTTTCTTCTTAACAGATCGATTCAAACTACAAACAAATGGTGAATACAATGCTTCTATCTTTCCAAGATTTAGGATGCTAAATGAGCTTAAAAATGTTCATGTTACATTCAGATCTGGACTATTTACCAGAGAATCTAGGAATCATGAGCAAAGAGCAAGGTAAAAGACTGTACCAGGATCTAAAGGAATTGGAACACTGATATCAAGGGAAATGGAATAAAATACATTTGCAGATTACTGTTGGTTATTAAAGAGAGAAGATCCAACTACATCTCGCACAAGAAAAGCAAGACAAAGAAGTTTCTTAACCTAAGTTAAGTCATTATAAAATTGAAACTGTGATCTTATCAATATCAGTACATTCAGGCATTTGATCCATTTCAACTGACAGAGGTGTAAACTGAGGAGTAAAAATAATAAGAAAGAAACATTCTTACCCACGATATTAAATTAATTGTTAACTTGCCTGTGCACATATCTCACATTTCTTGTATTTTTATTTTTATTTTGCAAAAAAACCTGATGTGATAGAGAAAAACGAACTTCTGATCCGGAATCACCATGTCAGGAATATATAAGAGCACTATTTAAATATAATTTAATGATCAGGAAGGTTAAATTCGCAAGTCAGTGTTATTGAAATGTGTTCAACTTGAAGAAAAGTTATTTTCATTATTCTCAATAAAATCACTTATTTTTAACTACTTTTTGCTCGTCATAATTCCATTATCTCTCCACTTAACATTATGTTTTCATTGATGTATGACAGTCTTCCCATTAATGTTATACCATCACAAATAATCATAAGTAAGTAAAAACAAATTTTAAAAACATCATCCAATAAAAGAGAAGTTACATATACAGTCGATTCTGATTATAGTGAACCTCAGTTGTAGTGAAGTCACTGGTCCCATTTCTCTTACTTTACAAATCAGCATAAGAAGCTTCAGTTCTAGTGAATGTAGGAAATACAAAGTCCTGGAAATTAATTCCCTCCTGGAAAAGAATATATCGCCTCAGTGCCACAAATTCCAACACAAGGCAGCTTGAAAAAATGACATCAGCAAGGTGAAGTCAGCAAGGCAAGATAGAAGAAGACTCTTGAGGTGAAGGTAGGGGACTGAGAATGGCCACCTTTCTGATGACCTTAAGTCATTCAATTTCACTGCAGAAACAAAGACCATGTCCTGCGTGGGCTACAACTGGCAGCGGCAACGTGCAATTACTTGCTTCAGTTTCAATCTTGGTGTACTTGATGTTCTGTGTGACAAAGCACGTTGAGTTCTACGCAGGCACATGACTGCCACAGCCTGGCAATATCCGCCATGCCACGCGGAAATGCAATCAGTTTCATTAGCCACTTGCGCCATCCTGCTACCCGAAGATCGTATCTATTAGGTAAGTAAAAGGGCCTTTGGAGAGTGGGATGGTATTCCAATAGTGCAAGAGGTATTGAAGGGTGTCAAGACTGCTTTACTTAAGACACAGAGGACAATGCAGAAAGAGCACAAATTCTGAAGGAGGATTAGAGAAATTACTAATGAAAAAGTACGAAGCAAGCAATTGAAAATAATATATTTTTTAAGGACAAATGAAGATATTGAAATTTACATTTGTCATGCTGTTAATGTATTATTCTGTATCTCTTTATTAATAAAATCAGTCATTTGGAGAAATTCTGTTTAATTTTGACATCATCTGATACAGTGAACCAAAAATGTTAGTTCCCAGATGTTCATTATAACCAGAGTCATCTGTATATGAAGACATTTAAATTCTTAATATTTAGCACACATACAATAGGTTACACATACAATAGGTTTTCTTCTTGAAAACAAACAACTCAATTCAAAAGAGAAATACGATTTCCCTTCAAAGAATGCACAAAACACAAATTTATTCAAAAAATAACAATTTGATATTAATCGCGCAACTTTTCTTGAACGATGGATTGAAGAAATGCAGGTAGAGTGAGGGTATTAGTTACGAAATCAGTCACTAGATTTTATGAAGCAATGCTAATCTGGAGAATCAGTCATGGCTTCGCAATGTTCCCAATAATTTGAGTTTTAACTTTCTCAGGAGTTCAAGGAATCTCTTGTGATGGATATTTACCTGCATCGGTCATTTCTTTAGATTTTTCGACAAAATAATAGATCTTGTCTTGAAAAGAAAATTGTTTCTATTTCGTGATAGTAAAGAAGTGTTAGGAATGTTGTCATTAGTGCTCACTGCGAGCTTTTGCCTTTAACTGATCATTACAACAGAGAGGGGGGGAAGCAAGGTCAAAGTTCAAGAAAAGTTGCGTGAGTAATATTGTTCTCTTACAAATTGTAACTCACCTTCATTATCTAATACAATGGTGTGATGCTGCCCAACACAAACTTTAATCACTTTCTTTTCTGACAAAGGCTGACTTATTACAGGTTGGAAATACATACTTTGCTCGCCATCATTTTTGAAACCTGAAAGACCAATTGCCACATTAAAAATGAAAATAAAAAAGGTAATAATCAATTGAAGTTGTTTATAAAAATATTTTACCTAATTGATTATGATTATTTAATCCAAAAACATATATTTGTCCATTCAGTCTTTCCTTTGCAAAAGTACAATAACTTCCAGCCCATACATCTTCAAAAACTGGCTTTAATCTTGGTTTAAATTTAACAACTTCAGGTTTCAGCAAGTGAGCTGTAAGGAAATTTCATTTGATCACACAAAGATTGGTAAAACTTAAAGTAAGCAAATCCTTTATCAGAAAACACATTTAAAATTGTCACCATCAGTTTTGGTCTCTGGCATTTACACATACATACAATTCCTTCTCACTTCATTTCACTGTTTGCACTGTTTTCACTTGAAAACATGGCCAGAAAATTAAAAAGGTATAGGCCACTATATTTGTGTCAAACATTTCCTGTCACTAGGGTTTTACACTCATGAACACCATATATCTCAAAGGCAAGCATTCACTGCATTATATCACAGCCTGTACCAAGTTGAAAAATTAATATAATAACGTATTTGTCTGAATATAAAAATAAAAATCCCCTAAAAATGATGCTTCCTGAGATTTTTCTTTATTTTTAACTAATTCTTAGCATTTAGCCTTAGTAAAATGGCAAATTGTCTTGCTGATGAGTAGAGGGCAGATTTTAATGACTTGAAACATTGCCAAAAAATATCAATAAAATGCTCAAATTTAAAAAAAAGATCAAAACCACTTCAGATGAACAACTCAAGCTGTTGGATATGTTACGGGTGTAATCAAACCTTCTTCCTTTTGTTCAAGTGAACTCAGTTTGCTAATTTGGCTTTGGATTGTTCTTTAAAAGAAAATCTCTTCCTATATTTATCGCAAAAACAACCGAACTGACAATAGCACCAATAAACGTCACAGGAACCACAGATTACATAGTACTTCCAACCGCTGACATTACAAGAAATCGAATAGGATACTCCAGAATTCAGTGAACATTGTAGTACTTTATTAATATTGTTTGAACCAAGTACCATTAAAATAATGTTAAAATCAATCAATAAGAAAAATACAAAACATTACAAAACAAAATGGGTCATTTTGTTACATCATAACATGAAATGAATTTTTGTACTAAATGGCATTGTCCTAAAGTGAAAAAAAAAAAAAAAGAAAAATCCCATTAAAATCCGCCCCCTACTGATGAGTATTTTAAAACTTATTGCTTGGGCTATCACCATTTTCCTGTTCCTTGAAATGATCATAATCATGGTGTTGGTCACTACAACTTGCATCTTAATACTTATCACTGTTACTTTCTTTTTGGCCCTTCTCCAATATTGTCATCCTCTTGACTTTTTTGATCCTTCTTAAAGTTTTGGGCATTGAATGGTCATCTTCCATCTGATCTAAGAACATTTCCTTCTGTATCACTAGATTTTCATCCTGTTGCAACATGTATTCTAAATAATTGTTCTACTTTGCAATTTTGAAATAGTCAGGGAGTTAATGAAAATTGGATCCATATAATTATATTAAACCATGGCTCTATTCAATTAAAAATTAAGAAAAAGTTGTTTGTGTACTCGTTTCATTTCGAGATTTCAACGGAAATACGTTTTAGGGTCACTTACAGAAAAAGTAGTACCTTTTTCCCCCCTCTCCCCCTTCAAAACGTCTGTCCGTCTGTCGGTCTGTTCAGTCTATGTGAACAACACTATCACCTAAATTATGCGTACGATTTGTTCAAAACTGAATAAACCCCTCTCGATATGGCCTGAGTCAAACTCTGTGATTTTGAAAAACATTCATTAATTTTTGGGGGTACTTTAAATGAAGCCCCCCGGACATGCACATCTTTTTCAAAAACTGCTCCAATTTCTTTCTTTACATTTCTTGTAAGAATAAAGTAGCTCTTAAAGTTATAAAATTTTTCAGATATCTTCCTACAATGACAAAATTGAAGACAGATTTTTCCTTCAAAGAAAATTTGTTCTCCGTAGTGAATTCTTTCATTAAGGTCTTCTTTAAACTTTTTATATATTCCTTTGTTTTGTCATAAATTACCAAAATGTAATTTTATTGATTTGTCTCATGTCGTTAATATTTACACTAGCGGCGATTAGTACACAATATTATATTTACGAGTACATGTGCTTTAAATAATGTAATAAAGTTTATCGAAAACCGCTTTTTGTTCTAGCTCAAAATTCTGCATTTTCAGAAACTTTCAAAAGCTTTTTTTTTTTCATTTAAAGTTCACTAAGGTATTTTTTTGTTGTTTTCCCCCCAAAAATTACACAAATTCTCTTTCTCTTTATTACACTTATTCTCTTTAAGATTGCTCATGCTGTTAATTTGCACATTTCCAGCAATTCATAAACATTGTTTTGATGAGTTAAAGTGCTTCGCTTGAAGTCCAATAAAAGTTTTTCAAGAACTCAAACATTTCTGTGAAAATGCTTCAAATTTCGTATTTACAGTAGACCTTAAACACCTTGTTCGCACATACAGCTCCATTTTTCTTAGAAAATTGCCATTAAGGACATAGTTTTACTGCTCTTGAATAGTCCGAAAACAACATTTCCGATCTACTGATAGGATACCAAAAATTAAGAAAAAAATTAAAAAATATACTCTTGGCGGTGATAGATGGCAACTAGCAAGAGTAGTTGGCAAGTCCAAAGAGTTAGCCAACACCAAAGGAAATAGAAAACTAATATGGGAAAATCTGTGCCATTCGGAAGCACCACTAGTTTATGTGCTTACAACGCAATAAAAAATAAAAACAAGATTTTCTCAAAAACTGCTCACAATGATTCTTTACAATTTTGGTAGGGATGGTGCTAAATATACTGTATAAGATTGCAAACGCCATATTGCTCTTTTCTTTTGTTTTGTATTTTCTTCAAAAATTACAAAAATGCAATTTTTTGACTAGCCTCTCGTTTTTAATATTTATATTAGCAGAGGTGTCTTCATATTATTACATTTATTAGTATATTTGCTCAAACTGATGTCAAAGTTTCTCAAAAACTTCTTCAAAATTGAGCTCAAAATTTCAAGTTTTCAGAAACGTTGAACCGCCATTTTCTAAGAAACTACTACAAATTTGCACTTTGAACTTTTTGTAAAGATAGTGCAAAATGTACTGTATAAGATGACATAAAATTAATTTTCTGCATTCTTTTGTTTTTGTTTTTTTCAAAATTACATTTTTTTTAACACATATCTCATGTCTTTAATATGCACATTTCCAGTGATTTGTATACAGTACTGTATTTGTGAGTGGAAGTGCTTCAAATGACTTCAAGTAAAGTTTTGTGGTAACTCAAAAGATGTAGGTGAGAAAGACCTTCAATTTTCACATTTACAGGAATGCTTTAACAATATCCAAAGGTTCCAAAGGTTTTAACGAAAATATCCATATCAGATAAGGTTTTAATCTTCATTAATACTTTTTAAGTAATATTTCAATTATATCAATAGGAAACCAACACATTGAGAAAATTTTTAAAAAAGTATACTTTGGGCAGTAAAAGATGGTAGCTAGCAAGAAGATGGGGGAAGACCATAAAGCAAGCCCAGACCAAAAAAATTACAGAACTCGCTAGAACAAGGTCTGTGTCATTCTCCAATACCACTTGTTAATTATGTAAAAATATTGAAAATATTTTATCACAACATTGGAAATTTCCTTGCCAAAATGTATTTGTAGAAATTCATTTTATAAAAAGAATAAACATTTAAATAGAAGTTTTTGAGAAAATGCTCTGACTGAGGAAAGCAGAACGATTTACAGTCCAAAAGGAATGTGCTGTAAAATAAAATTATAGTCTTTTATCAAAATTTATCAAAGGTTCCCACCTAGGCCCACTACTATTCATTCTATTTGTAAATGATCTTAAGAAAACACTTCCATATTCAAAATTCCTACTTTCTGCTGATGACTTGAAAATTTATAAAGCTATAAATTCATTACAAGACTGTTTCGATTTACAATGTGACTTAAATACATTGTTAGATTAATGTTCATCAAAATGTTTGAATTTCAATAATGGTAAATGTAAG